TATTTTGGAGCGACAAGCTCGGTGTAACTGGAACTCGTAAACGATAACTTTAAAATAGTCATAAACCTCTGTTTTATCAAGTCTGTAGACTTTATATAAATCGACCTGTACACGCCTCAATCAACATCACTGAACAAACTTGTTGCAAACTTTATGACAACTCAAGCCAAATATAAAAACGTTAATAAGTTTTTATACGCTGATGCTGTAAAAAAATTCGTAAAACTTCCGGCCATCGAAAAAAAATCGTATGCTTCCGGTGAGGAATTTTCTGAATAGCGACGCGCTTGGATGGTGGCACAACGTGCCTTATATATTATTACTGATAGGCTGTTAAAAAGAGGTCTGAAGCTAAAATGATATGCGAAGTCCATATACACCGGTTGGTCGTGTCATGATTGCTTTTTTAACTATGAACTTAGAATTCAATTTGAAGTAAATAGTTATTGCTTCATCTGGTGGTGCAACATTTATTATAATCAATGCCAAGAGCTTAATTAGGACTCTTTCTCAATTGCTAAATTTTTGCTCAATGAGAACATTAGGGTAGAAAATTCTATTCATGCCTGTTCCTTGAACAAATATAACTATGCACGCCAAGTTATCCTGATCAAAGCAAGCTTTCAAATTTGTGATTACAGCGGATAAACTTGCCATGGTAATCAAGAGTTAAGCTCATTGTCGTACAAAAACAATTCTTTACAAAGACCCAAAGTTTGAAGTAGAGCATGGGAATTTCATACGAATAAAAAAAAAAACTCGAAAACAATCATAAACAATCAAGTAAGATGAACGGATCTCAATGCACTGCTTGTCTATAGCGAAAAGAGCATTCTTACCAGGATTAGCTCATCATAGTAAAAAAAAAATATATGTATAGAACGCTTGCAAGTTGAAAAAAAATACATCGCTAAACGACTAGATTAAAGAGCGCCACCTACTGTGGTTGTTGTGTTTGTATGTGGAAAACACAGACAACGTCGGGCGTTTTTAAGTACAATTAAGGCACCGTTCCTGAATATAAAATACAATTATGGCAAAAGCTTATTTCATTTCCGAAGAATACAGTATTTACCGAATAAATCTGCAGGGGATATGTTTTTCTATAATTCACCTGGATGACGTACTTTATTTGATACACATTATAATTCCCAGAAAAATTATCAGTGATTTTTTTGTTGTTTATGGTAAACGCATTGCTCGATAAAATTTAAAAAAAATTAACTCATTGCATTATTCCTAAGAACAATGACGCATAGCTGGTATGCTCAATATATATTACTTTAATTTTCTCAATATTGGAGTAATTTTATTGTTGCTCGGCGCTATTCCCAGCAATACCTGTCCGATCTATTGGTCTTCAATTCTAGGCTTCTCCAGTAGTGCATGATCTCGTTCTAATCTAGACATTCAAAATGACATTGTTTACGGTCCTACACGCTTATTTTCACTCTGTTCAACGATGTGTAAGCAAATCAAATAGAAATATCGATGCCAGTATTTTAGTGGAATAATGTTTCGAGGAACTCTAAATAAAGAATTTTAAATGGATCAATCTTTTGTACTTTTGGAGGATGCATCCCTTGTCTCCTTTTTGTTGATAAATGGCTGAGAAATTCCGTCTACTTTATCTATTCATGTGCGTTTTAATACTGCAAGATTATACATATTTCTGGGACATTTACTCAAGGTCTTCAGTCAGTTTACAAACATGATGTAGTGATATGGCGTTATGACATAATGTATGTTTGCACGTCGTGTCTGTAACTGGAGTATAGTTGATAGGTGTTTTAGGGTGTAATAAATTGGAAAAGCAATGTCGAACCATGAATATTGCAACCCTTTTGCTTCTCACGCATTGCTTAATAAGGTGTCACTTTTCTAGAGCCTTGTATCATAAAGTTGGGTCTCTCTCTTAAAATTCAACAGCCTGTGATGGGAGTGCAATTCAATAATTAAAGGCAGTTATGTATTTTCATTTCATTATAATATACAATTCGTACAAGATTATTTTAATTGTGACATGAAGACGGAATCAATTAAACATATAAATCGATTCTTTTTAATGATTTCTCATTCCAATTTGTTGAGGTACTCAACACTTGAAGCGGGGATATGACATGCATACAAACAAAAAGAACTCCGAGTTATATGCCTCATATGCGTCTCCTATATAATCGCATATTGAACAAAATTGGCTGGATAGCGTTCGATAGTGCAAGGTATTTATATACCCCGGTATAGATATTTGAATAAGTTTGGGTAATTTATGTTGCCTCAAGAATTTATTCGATAAATGTACAATGTTGCTTTTCGTGTGTTCGCCCTGTTTAAAAGGCGAATTTCAAGTAGAAGCTAATGGATATCGATGAAAATACAGGCAGCTGCATCGTTTTAAAAACTACCACATACTACATTATGCAAATCGAATTGCAATAAAGTGTGCTATTTTGCTCATCTTTAGCAATGTATGTTTCAATTTTCATGACGTGTGGCCACATTTCTGTAAAACGTTGCATTTAGTTCTTAGGGTTCATGAGTTAAATTCAAAGACTGGGATATTGTTATTTGATTCCCACAAATTTCTTTTGCATCCAATGAAGCATTTCGAAAGAAAATCGTAAAAATCGTTCTCAGCATTTTCGTTTGCTAAACAACATAACTTGAATGTGCATGGTCTCGGAACACCAAATTGAACAAAAAACTGAAATTTTGCAATATGTTCTGGATTTATTAAATCCGAAACTTTAATATCACAATAAATATACAGTATATAAAACAATTCTTTACGAAGACCCAAAGTTTGAAGTAGAGCATGGGAATTTCATACGAATAAAAAAAAAAACTCGAAAACAATCATAAACAATCAAGTAAGATGAACGGATCTCAATGCACTGCTTGTCTATAGCGAAAAGAGCATTCTTACCAGGATTAGCTCATCATAGTAAAAAAAAAATATATGTATAGAACGCTTGCAAGTTGAAAAAAAATACATCGCTAAACGATTAGATTAAAGAGCGCCACCTACTGTGGTTGTTGTGTTTGTATGTGGAAAACACAGACAACGTCGGGCGTTTTTAAGTACAATTAAGGCACCGTTCCTGAATATAAAATACAATTAGGGCAAAAGCTTATTTCATTTTCCGAAGAATACAGTATTTACCGAATAAATCTTCAGGGGATATGTTTTTCTATAATTCACCTGGATGACGTACTTTATTTGATACACATTATAATTCCCAGAAAAATTATCAGTGATTTTTTTGTTGTTTATGGTAAACGCATTGCTCGATAAAATTTAAAAAAAATTAACTCATTGCATTATTCCTAAGAACAATGACGCATAGCTAGTATGCTCAATATATATTACTTTAATTTTCTCAATATTGGAGTAATTTTATTGTTGCTCGGCGCTATTCCCAGCAATACCTGTCCGATCTATTGGTCTTCAATTCTAGGCTTCTCCAGTAGTGCATGATCTCGTTCTAATCTAGACATTCAAAATGACATTGTTTACGGTCCTACACGCTTATTTTCACTCTGTTCAACGATGTGTAAGCAAATCAAATAGAAATATCGATGCCAGTATTTTAGTGGAATAATGTTTCGAGGAACTCTAAATAAAGAATTTTAAATGGATCAATCTTTTGTACTTTTGGAGGATGCATCCCTTGTCTCCTTTTTGTTGATAAATGGCTGAGAAATTCCGTCTACTTTATCTATTCATGTGCGTTTTAATACTGCAAGATTATACATATTTCTGGGACATTTACTCAAGGTCTTCAGTCAGTTTACAAACATGATGTAGTGATATGGCGTTATGACATAATGTATGTTTGCACGTCGTGTCTGTAACTGGAGTATAGTTGATAGGTGTTTTAGGGTGTAATAAATTGGAAAAGCAATGTCGAACCATGAATATTGCAACCCTTTTGCTTCTCACGCATTGCTTAATAAGGTGTCACTTTTCTAGAGCCTTGTATCATAAAGTTGGGTCTCTCTCTTAAAATTCAACAGCCTGTGATGGGAGTGCAATTCAATAATTAAAGGCAGTTATGTATTTTCATTTCATTATAATATACAATTCGTACAAGATTATTTTAATTGTGACATGAAGACGGAATCAATTAAACATATAAATCGATTCTTTTTAATGATTTCTCATTCCAATTTGTTGAGGTACTCAACACTTGAAGCGGGGATATGACATGCATACAAACAAAAAGAACTCCGAGTTATATGCCTCATATGCGTCTCCTATATAATCGCATATTGAACAAAATTGGCTGGATAGCGTTCGATAGTGCAAGGTATTTATATACCCCGGTATAGATATTTGAATAAGTTTGGGTAATTTATGTTGCCTCAAGAATTTATTCGATAAATGTACAATGTTGCTTTTCGTGTGTTCGCCCTGTTTAAAAGGCGAATTTCAAGTAGAAGCTAATGGATATCGATGAAAATACAGGCAGTTGCATCGTTTTAAAAACTACCACATACTACATTATGCAAATCGAATTGCAATAAAGTGTGCTATTTTGCTCATCTTTAGCAATGTATGTTTCAATTTTCATGACGTGTGGCCACATTTCTGTAAAACGTTGCATTTAGTTCTTAGGGTTCATGAGTTAAATTCAAAGACTGGGATATTGTTATTTGATTCCCACAAATTTCTTTTGCATCCAATGAAGCATTTCGAAAGAAAATCGTAAAAATCGTTCTCAGCATTTTCGTTTGCTAAACAACATAACTTGAATGTGCATGGTCTCGGAACACCAAATTGAACAAAAAACTGAAATTTTGCAATATGTTCTGGATTTATTGAATCCGAAACTTTAATATCACAATAAATATACAGTATATATATAACACAATAACCCAGCAGAGTGCCGAAAGTGATAAATACGTGGTATATATATGTGTCACATAACGTAACAAACGCCAATAATTTTGGAAATACCAGACATGAGGTCTTTCAGCATAATTCAGCGTTACAGAGGTTTTGGTGTATAACGTCATGCGGACATCCCCCACTGTACACATGTTAAAGGTATCGCGTATACGTTGATATGTAATTTACAGCTACCCAACAACCTGAAAATCAAAAGTTTTTACACATATCTTTAACGCATGTTTTTATAATTAAAGTCATTTACGAACATCATAATTTGGACTCCTATTTAATTGCCAGTTGCTTCCGCCTGTTCTGCATTGCTTTGATGGCGTTGATCGTCGAGCTATTTTTCCACGTTGGTTTTTGCCGTCATCTGCACTTCTGCTATATCCAGTCGACATAACTGTTTCATCAATTGATTCAACATCAGTAAAACCACTGGAGGTAAATTTTGTTCTTGATTCTCCTTGCTGAATGTTTAAAAAATAGACCATAAATTAATAGAAAAATAAAAATTGAATTACAAAAATGAGAGGAATTTATGTAATTTATAATTGACAATTTCACAAAATGAAACAATGCTCAATTGTAGTTTATGCGCTTTAAACTTTTGGAGTTCTTGTAATCATGAAAACTAATCTTTTAAAGCAATTAAAGTAGGTAAATTTTGAAATAACTGAATAAATTAAATAGTTCTCATTATCTTCGATGGCGTGCATGTTTATTCTACTAAATTGATGAATCAGAAGGATCGTTCGTTTAAAATCTTCAATCCGTACCTAATAGGCCCGACTTTTCTTCCAAAAAAAAGACCAAAATGTGTATTATCAAAAAACGGATATTTTTTACTTTTATATAACCAGAAAACATTGCAACAATTGGACATCATTTTTTTTAATTACTACACAGTAAATTCACCCCAGTCACCAATAGTTTCAAATTCAGCTGATGGACAGTCTGAATATTTACAAAATTATGTAGGTGATGTTCGCCGTGAACCTGGTATTTCTAATAATCCTCAAGTCTCAAGTTATACCTTAGTTATCGTTCCCAACTGTTCATATTTCACCATGGTTGAACTCATAGGATGATCTCTTCTGAAGTCGTCATCTGTGTCTGTCGCATCAAATGTTGGTGGTACAGGAGATAAAATAGCAGGTGATATCCCAAGTGCCCTCTCGTTTACGAACATAGAAGCTGATGAATGTGGGATCCTATAATTTCGAAAAAACAAGAGAGTGATGCTCAAATATGTGGACGTGGAGACCAAAACGAAAAAGTAGTCTCCCTTACCATATACAGTACCCTTTACTGATACTCAGTCTACAGTACGGTGAGCGAGGTCGCAGAACCGCTACAAATAATTTGTATTAATTTTGGAAAGGCCTTCGCACAAATGATAAACGAATCACATAGCCCACAGAAAGTTTCAAAATAAATATTAATAGTAATAGCTTTCTAGCGAAAAATACAATCTTTAACCACTGAAAATTTCAAAGCAATTGGTCCAGTAGTTAATGAGTGAAGCGATTTTTTCATAACAACGAGAAAAAAAATTTCAACAAGGACAACAAACGATCCATATGTACATTTCGTGCCCAATAATCGATATATATCATTTGCTTCATTCGCGTGTAACTAGGAGAGACCTGAAGATGGGTTATGCCAAGTGAAAATAAAGAGGTTGGAATCGCAAATATCATCGCACCCATCGATCCATTTTTGCAATCTATTTTCGCAAATGTCACTTCTCGGTAAAATAACATCATGATAGCCCCTAAAAGGACTATCATGTTGACAGCAGGTTTGATTTTTAATACAGCTAAAGGAGTTGTGTATTTTCTATCAGGTTATGTATATGTTGAGATTTTTTTGACAAAACGAATGCGTCCGGTCTAAATCTAAAATGAATCGCGATTTGAATGAATGGAAATTATTATGACATTTTATGAGATAGTGAGCCATACTTTCACTGATCATATAATTTCCTAGTAATTATCAAAATAACGTTAAAACAAGAGAGCTATGCTCAAATATATGGACACGAAAAATCCATCTTTAACCACTGAAAATTTCAAAGCAATTAGTCAGGAGGGGGAATAGGGGGGTGCGCATTTCCAATACGTCGATATTATCTTTGTCGACCCATTTGCGACCACCGTGTTTTTGTCTGTTTGATTGCTGTGATGCGGTGCTTTGTTTATAATTTGACGAGTTTTTTTCGAAATACAGAAATAACCATGTTCTTAAAATGTATGACGGTCAGAAATGCAATTCTCGACGCAGCAGAAACGATGTTCAAGGCTTAAAATCTTTGGTACTTTGTATAGCTTTAACCCCTGGCCGTAGAAAGGTAATTCGAGGTTTAGCCGAATTAGCGTGTAGAATAACTGCCAATGCACTTACGGTAAAGAAATTAACGGGTTAGAAAAAATATTGGTTTTTGTTTTATAGAGGTTTGAATGAAATTGTCCGCAGACTGGCTACACCACCCTAGTTTTTGTCCGAAGTAGGCAAATATGGTAAATTAAATTCATTTCATTACCAGACTACCGGTACCAGGCATTCTGACATTTGATTGATTTGCACATACTGGAATAACATATCAGCATTTGCAAAGTTATAACCGTATGATTTAAATATTTATCCAGTTCAAAATTTTGTCAGGCAAGGATACCGGTATCCCAATTTTAGTTTTTGTCCGAAGTAGGCAAATGTGGTGAATGAAATTAATTTCACTACCGCTACCAGCCGTACCAGGCATTCCGACATTTCATACATTCCAGTGGTCGGATACCGGTACAAATTTTGGTTTTTGTGTGAAGTAGCCAAACCTGGTAAAGGAAATTCATTTCCTGGCATCCAGACATTTGATATATTTCAGTGTTCGGCACTTACCGGTACCGGGTAATAGCCTACGGTGACACCATTTTTCAATAAGCTGAAAACCGCATACCGGTATTACTGTATCAGTCAACTAGCTAAGAAGTAATCGAAACCGTTGCATTACTGCATTGCGGGTACTGGAAACCCCAAACATCTCCATTCCCCATAAACAAACAAGATTTACGTTCGCTTCACAGCTGATATGCCTTCGCCGCAATCGCGACAAGGTGTCGCTAATTTTTATTCTGATCACTTCTTCGAACACAAAAAACGAATCTTTTGAAGTCCACAGAAAATTTTAAATAAATAAAAGTAATAGCCTTCTGAAGAAAAATTTGATCTTCAACCACTGAAAATTTCAAAGCAATTTGTCCAGTATTCGAAGAGAAAAGCGATTTCTTCAAAACGTGTCAAACAACAAGAACAAGAACAACATAATATTGAAACGATCGTTATGTCCAATTCGTGTCCAATAAGGCATGGCTTGGACATTGAAATAGATGGAAATTAACCATACTTTCCAATTCCAACTAAGAAAATGATTACAGGTAGAATTTAGTGAAGAAATGAGAATCTGAGAAGAGTTGGCAAAACTATTAGCGTGAGAAATGAGATAGTGCTGCAAGTAAGTCAATTAATAATTCGTTTGTCGCCAAATTCGCCATTCAATTGATTCAATTCATTCGAAATTGAGCTAAAGTAACACACACTAAAAATAAATTAACACAGAAGAAAAAAAACAAACAAACAAAAAAACAAAACACAAAGGAATATGTTAAAACACAGTAGTTTCTTGCCCTCCTATCAACAGAGAGAGAGAGAGAGAGATACTGATGCTGGAAAGACTACATGGTCAACTATGTCGAACGACCCCCTAATTAATTACAACAAATATTTGATGGATTACACATAACATTTCCAAAGACATATAAGACGAGGGATTATTTAACAAGTTAGCTAACACATCATATTCATTGGGCCTATTTGAATTAAAAAGGAATGACAAAGATAGATACATATTTCGGAAATATAGCACAGTCAACTTTAAGTAAATCTCAGATCAGAAATCTAATTTTATTCAATTTGGAGAAAGAAAAAAAAAACGAAAAACATTCTATAGTCATTCAAATTATTCCCTAATAGTTGAAAACTCGATGAAAGCATCAAGTTTCATAAGCAAATGAAGTTGATGAATATACATAACTAAAACTGAGATTGGTGTTTTTCATTATCAGATATTGAACATTAACATGCAATATCATAGTTTTATGATTCAGTCAACTAAAAAATATGTTTACAAGTTATTACATGGCTCGTCAGGTGATTCCATCAAAAGCACAGTTAACACATTTCTATGTGTACAACACGAACTTTCGAGGCTTATTATTGCCACCAGAATAAGGGGTGCGTGCGTCTTATACATTGGTTCAGAAAATACCAAGGAAAATTATCGATATTTTACGCTAATCGGTATAATAAATATGTTCTCGTTACTGTTGTTGCTGTGTAGCGCAACGCTAGCCTACTTACTGAAGGTGGATGCGCTATTTTGTCTGTTTCGTTGTTTCCCGTTAGCGAACGTATCACATGTAAAATCAATTCTCGTTCATGTGAATGTAACATTGAGCAACGTTTTTTTGAAAGTGTTATTTACAGAAAAGCATGCTTGGGCGAACAGGGAAATTCTCAATGCTTGAAAATTTTATTTCACTATTCCTTATTCCTTTTGCTGTACAAAAAAATCTAAATTTGGATCATTTGTATCGTTAGCGTCTATTTCTTTCTATTTTTCGAACTGAACCCGATATTTCGACAGAGAATATGCGCATGAACTCTCGATGACAATATGGTCAATGAAGACAGCCGGGATGACTTTAAATGTAGGCCTATGTAGTGAAATCGGAAACTGTAAAGTACAGGATCACAGCTAAGGGGTCGTGTCTTTGAAGGCGTCCCGCTTTAAAGTCAAAAAAATATGGTAACCCCAAGTATGTATATATAGTTTAGTTTGTACCACCATCGTTTTTTAGGATTACGAAGCAATATTTTGTATAACATAAACTATTTTTTTTGGTATCAGGCATTGTGGTTGTTGAAATAATGATAAAATAGTGTCGCATAGCAAAAATTCTAAAGAGCTCTGACGTATACCGTATAAAATTTGATATTTATTGACTCTGAAGTCTGAATAAGCACAGCATGCGATTGATGGAAAATAAAAACAAGAAAGCGATGTTCAAATATATGGCCATGGCATCATATATTATAATACTATTACATCTAATTCTCGAGAAAACTACAATGTGATACAAAATAAAATAAAATCTCCCACGTACGCCCACAGTTTTATTATCAACATGACAGTGTTAATGATTCTCTCGTTCGCAACGAGGTATAATATTGATATTGCGAGGTCCCACAACGGCTTCCTCGTTAGTATAGTGGTGAGTATCCCCGCCTGTCACGCGGGAGACCGGGGTTCGATTCCCCGACGGGGAGCACAATTTTTTCCATTCTCAGTTGTATTATATTATTGGACACGTGAGTGGACCTATAGATCGTTTAGAATTTAGATATTACGTTGTTGTTCTTGTTAATATTCTTCGTCATGATGAAATCGATTTTCTCTTCGAATACTGGAATTTCCAGTGGTTGAAGATTGATTTTTTTGCCAGAAGGCATTTACTTTTATTTATTCCTAAATTTTCTATGAATCTTATGAGATCTAATATTTGATCAAAATTGCGCTGTATTACTTTTTAATAATGAGAACACGGTTTTTAATCAAGTCCGTCAGGCGTGACGGCTGACTGTGAAAATTCTTGCGACTGGAAACACGAAAGTTTTTTGAGGGTACGGTCCACGTGTCCAATGCCATATATTTGAGCGTTTCTCTCTTGTTCTCAATGAGCATTTCTCGGAATATCGATAAACAAACATACCTAATATTTGAACATACCTAATTCGCTTTACCGATTCCCGCAAAATTGGTCGTTGTCCTGGAGGTCGTTTTTTCACTGCCATTCTCGCCATACACAGCAGAAGAAACCCCAATAGTACAACAACGAAAGCTCCACAGCCTCCTAAAAATGCAAAGTGAGAAGTAATGTGTTCAGTTTTAAACTTTTATGTATTGCTTGTTAGTATTTTTAATTGGAATTTATTATTTCAAAGTTCCAGTGGCGACATTATTTTCGACAGTCTTATAAGTAAACACATTCACATTCTATTTCTCGAGTGCAATCATTGTAATCAGTTGCCGGGCCCTTTTCTGACATAATCTAACAAGGCATAGTGGGTTTTGCTTTGATTCAAGCTGAGTTAAAATTTAATTCTCTACTTGTCATTTTGTTTTTGATAAATAAAAATATAAGGCATCCCCCGAAAATAAGCCCTAGTGTTATTTTTCGAGAGAGAATTGAAAAAAGACCCAGTAGTATTTTCGGGGAAACACGCACGGTAGTCGCTAAATTTCTCACGTTGCGGCCTTTGTCATTGTAGAAGAGGAATTTAAAGGCATAATTAATCAACGCGATTTTACGGCTTCTTCTGGAGCTAAAATTATCTGTCCCACAGATTTTGGGCTCTTGGTGCTGCCAGTATCACCTACTTTCTTTACGTTGGACCATAATCCTTATCACTAAACCACATCGAAATCTTGTGTAGGCCTACTAGATCGAAGTTCTGTGACGGTAATGTCGAAAAACTAATTCTAAAAAATATTATGTGCGCACCTGCAATTAAGGACAACTTTAAAATGCTCTCGGAAGTTTCGCATCTTTCGCCTCGGAACCACCATTGAGATGAGGACGGGCACCTTAATAACAAGTCGTTATATAAAACCTATAATAATCATATTAAGATAAAATTCAGATGAGATGTGAGTTAACTTAACAGTGTTCAAAACCCACACGATTATAAAAAATTCGAAATGTGTACCTCTTTTATTTGTATCTGTATAAAGTTCAAGATCGATTCGAAATTACGGTACTCATTTTTACTCCACATGTACGTATGATTGTGCTGATTCATGAGGTTCAGCTAATTTCCTATATTATCTTGCATTAAGGCTTTGACAGATTTACTGTACACCAGGGGTCTCAAACTCAATTTACTTGGGGGCCGCTGGGGCAGAGTCTGGATGAGTCCGGGCCGCATCAGGTTTTCCACAATAAAATCTTAGCTCGTTTAAATTGTATTCCTTGTGCACTGCAACTTTAACTGTGCAGATAAAACACGTCGGGATGCTCCCATGCTCAAAAAAAAAATATTGCATTTCCCAGTTTTTTGAAATTGTCTGTGCTCATCACCAATCTTTCTATTTACTAAAACTTCACTTCCAACGACACGTGCGAAATTATAAAATTCCATCTTGTAATAACTGTTGCGCTGATGTTTCAACCAAGCATTTAGTCGATGGACAGTGATGTTTCGCCACATGGGAAACATGGTTACAATGTATTAAGATAAACCTAAACGTTAGTGATTGTGACGTCAAAAATCATGAAACACTGTTTTTAAATTATTTTAGGCGGTCCCGAGATCGAATATCAGGCCTACAGGTATGGTACTGGTAGGTTACCGCACCGCATATTCCTTTGAGGGGATAGATGATAAAATATTTTGGTTTGCCCTACGTGAGAGTTTCCATTTTTCGGCCACGGAACACTTACACGTTTTATATCTCCTCGCGGAACACCAAAAAATGAAAAGGTTAAATTGAAAAACGGTGCAATGTAGCGGTTCCCAATGGTTTCGCCGTGGCGAGTTGCAAATGCGCGACAAACTTTCAGCATTTCAACGTAAAACCAGGTAGAGATGTAGGAAGAACGGTTGACCTTTTGCTTTTACTCTTTAAACTTACTTGTTTGTCTTCAACAAAACCAAAAGAAGTACTGTAAATTTGATATTGAAATTAACAGTCAAAATGCTAAACCGACGGTTAACGAAAATGCCACTACCCTAACTTAGTTAGTCCACTTTAAGTCGGAGGTGACGCGATTTTAAACGGTCAGTTGGGCAACAACTTCACGATTCTCAGATCGTCATGGCGACCAATTTAGATGTATTTTTGATTCCTTTTCCACGCAACACTCGGGAGATGCTCGCGGAACATTAGTGTTCCGCGGAACACAGTTTGAGGAACGCTGTTATATTAAAACCATTATTCATGCTAAGTGACTTTCGGGCCGCACTAACATTAAACTTTATTACCAAGGCGGGGGCCACAAACTATCATCCCGCGAGTTTGAGACCCCTGCTGTACACGATAGGTTGTTCAAGTTCGTAAAAAGTGTGAGCATCATTGATGCTTCTAAATTATAAATATTAAATATTTTTCCCGTATCGAATTAACAGGTTATCACAAATAGGAATACCCTAGTTACATAGAACCAAGCGAAATAAACATTCATTAATTTTATAAATTTACTGTATTCTCCAAATCTCAAAGTTAGTATTTATAACTCACCAACAGGAAGGCCTTCCTCGTGTATCAAAACATTTTCCGTTGTTGAGACAATAATTAGGCAGAGCGTTACAAGTTGGCTTGTTAGTCTTATCTTGATTCTGCGCAATCACATTTTGACCATTTTCGGGAGAGTCAGTAGACCTGGCTGTTCCTTCCATAAAGGCCGTAGTGATAGCCTCGAAACTTGTTAAGTCATACATTTGCGTGGTTACTGTATACATGGGAGTGCCTGTTGTATTGGAATTTCTATTATCAGTTTGGTGAGTGTTAAGATCATGTGATCCTGATGATAGCCATGCATCAGTGGTTTTAATGTGATGAACAATATTCCAAGTTGTCGTAGATCCATAATCACCCGACCCTTGACTTTCTGGAGTATATCCTGATGAAGGAGGTGAAGTGGCGTCACCGGAATAAAATTCACTTGTGGTGTTCATTTCAAGATTGTTGGCTAGATAAATGTACAGATCATTCACATTTATAACAATGAAAGAACCGTATGGTTCAATGAATGAGACAAATATATATAAGCTACCCAATTGATATTATTTAGATGTTCTTTGACTGCTACATATACTTGCAATTACTCTTACCAGTTATCTATTTACAGAATTACACCCCAAAGAACATAAGCGAAAGTGAAGTTATCGGCCTACATTTTATAATGCTTCGGGAATCGGGATAAAAACGTTTTATCCTCCATGTATTTTCAACATAGCTGGATACAAAGTATCTAGCCACAATAATACAATTTCATACACTTTCTGTCATATTTGCTAATACAGTTCAGAACAAATAATTTATGTTACCACTACAAGAAAACAATCTTACCTGTTACAAAAGATGATAGATACACTAAATCCACAAAGCATAGATAAACTGTTAGTTTCATCTCGCGACTGCGTTCGCTATATACAGCATGGGCAGTCTGAAAGATAAAATCATCTTTCTTGGAAATCATGTAAGAAAATTAACTCAAGTGTCAGCAAGTGCTTCCTACAACTCCTTGAATCGACAACTTTCTTTAGTCACTCCTTTTTGTGGCGCCGTCCTCGAATAAACGCCGTTGAATGTGGTTATTGTGGATATATTAGCAATGTTCAATGATATTTCATGCATGGAAATTGTCATTAACATTCCGAAATCCTATAGTCATATATGTATAACCAGGTGACCAAGAGGTAAATCTGTGTACTTATCAAGCAAACCCTTTTGTGGGCGAATCTGACGTAAAATTTGTAAGCCTGTTTTGCTTCATCAGAGGCTGTCCTAAGGATAGAGTTTAATTTAAGCGCATTTGTCACGAAAAATAATACAAATTCGATGAGTTGAAATTTATGCCCCAAGACCGCGAGGCTGTGAAATAAATTTCCATTTCAAGACAAAGCCTTTAAAGAGGTTTAATCTAAAACAGGGTCGTCCAACCCGTGGCCCGCGGGCCTTATGTGGCCCGCGGAAGCATTTCGAGTGGCCCGCGCTGAATTTTCAGGATTGATTAAAAAAAAATTGAGTGAAACTATTTTTTGAGTGATGTAGTATCCAAAGATGTGATACCAACGATTTGTTTATTTCCCTGAAATGCGCTCTGCTATCCCTTCCAAACGAGCCATGATTGTCATTTTGAACCGAAACCAACTGAGAGGAGATATCGATACATATAGGTGCCATGGTCGCTTACACACTTTGTCTTCACTAAACTATATGATGTTATCGCCAAACAGTCGAAGCCATTTTCAGATAGAAAATGGCCTCCAAAAATGATCAAGCGTCTTGGCTTGTTTTTGGCGAAACTTTCGGGAAAAACCACTGACGGCGCCCATCAATGGTTGGGAGACAACAGTCTTATTTTGTTGTTCTAATAACTGTGAAAGTTTGGTGTGAGGGTATTGTTCGTTTTTCCACTAACCCGTAGTCAGTGCAGCAAAACTAGATCATAACCACCATGTTAAGTGGCCCGCGCAACTATTAATGAACCACATGTGGTCCTTCTGCCAAAAAGGTTGGCCGACCCTGATCTGAAACAATCATATTTTTTTTCCATCGCTTACGGTAAGTCTGAACAATTTGTTTGGCGATATCACAGTTTACTGAAGTGTATCAAAAACTTTATAATATTGAAGATGTCACCGATTAGTTAAAAATTACTTACAGATGGATGGATAAATGGTTCAAACGATCGAGGGTATTAGAAACAGCAACGCAGATAAGCAAATCTATGATTTAATGAATCCGTTAACCTTCAGAAGTCGACAGTATTTAATCAGATTTTATTTTATTGAGCCAGTTCAATGTCTGACTGCATGAATTTGATCTTGGAACCTTAGGTAAAGTTTCCAAAGCGCTGATCCTATTCTCGGACAATTGGATCGCATGCTTCACAGTGTTACACTACAGTACAGACAAACTTTTGTTCTTAACGATATTTTGATTTCATTCGGATGTTAGGATAAAATTTAAGATTCATTTTTATGTTATTCATTGTCCAATGAGAACCACGAGAGTAGAACGTCCCATCCCGTCGGTTGTTGTTGTTATATGTTTTATCGTAGTAGTATATATTCACGGTTTCATGGCACCATGGGCGTGCCAAACTAGTCTGCTGCCCGGGGCCAGTTTCTGAAAATGCTGCCCCTTATACCTAACTTCTAAAATAATTTGGGTGATAAACAGATTATGGATGTCTTCATACACGAGAATAAATCAAATAATTGTCAAGCAAGAAAGAAACGTTTGATTTATTAAACTAAGCATCAAAAAAATGTTGCAATTGTAAAATATGGGAAAATTCTTTTGAGGTCAAGGGTCGGAAAAACAACCCTTGTTTAAAAACCATCACCACAGAACACATAATGTTAGCTTTTAATTAAATAGGAACACACATAGAAGAGCAAGTGTAATAACCCAAACTCTACAGTCTACAGCTTGGTTCTGCTGCCCCCTACAATGTGCTGCCCGGGGCGGTTGCCCCCTTCGCCCCCCCTCTAGGCACGCCACTACATGGCACTCATAACATCACTGGTCTTTTGCGCTATAAACAGTTCGAATTCAAAATTATATATTAACATTTTATACACTACTTACAAATGAATGAAAATACAAATAAATCAATTATATTACGTAATTGATCCTAAATATTTCTGCCCGTTGAGAAAACAAATTCAATAACAGTTTCAATCAAGTCCATGTCATTAAAGCACTTCTTCCAAAGTCAGTTCCAATTTTAGTTTTCTGGATTTGTGAATGTCTGGAATTATCTGATGATCAAATTGCTGTCAATTCAGTAGGTCTCAAGTACAGGAGGGAAAATGTTCGCAATACCCGTCAGAGTGGCAACCAATTTTGTGTAATGGAGCATTCAGGGCGCAATGACTGGTTTGCAGTCGGAATAAAATAACTCGATATTTACTTGATAAATTATCGAGTCCGGCGTCCGATCCGAGACTTTATATTCCATCATTTTTGAGTTTGGATGAAAACTCGTCTGACAAGAATTCAATAACGCGATGTTTTGTATTGGTGCCGTATCGTGAATGAGAGGTTAAAATATCTACCAGTAAACTAAAGGTTGATTATGAATGGGCAATGTTAGACAATGAGTGGCCTCTGGAGATGAAATATCAAGTAAAGCTGACCAAAGGAACGAACTCTAGAAAATACCTTCGTTAAACGAAATTACACGTAACCGTTTATCACAAACAAACCTAACATAATGTGTAAAATGAAGCGCACATTTTTACAGGAGCTATGTTATATTACAAAATCTGGAGAATAGTGCCTAAAAATAATCAGCTTAAAGTTGATCTGATCACTTTCCGAGTTGCTGAAAACTAATAAATTGTTAGATGGTCCGGCCCTCGGGGATCGCAATAATTTTACGTTTTGGCCCATTGCAAGGAACAGGTGCGCCCTTACTCTCAACTGTGTTGAGTTATAACTATTTCAGATAAACACCATTGGCAGACAATCTCATATCATCAATAGTCAATGTGCTAAGTTAGTATATAGATAGGCACCAGCGGGAACTGAAAGAATTGCGTCACACACGTTTAATATTTGCCACTTCGCTGGTCATTGATACAAACTAAATAGTTAGGCCAGAGCCGAAAGGCTCACAGAAACACAAATATAAGAGAATCTAAAATGATATATACGCCAACACAATTATTGCTGACCAATGCCTAATTAAACTTACAACCTGCGTAGTTGGGCACAGACGTCAAGGGCTCTATGCTCTAATATCTTGAAGCCTCTTTTTATCTATCGCTCAGGCCTACCTACCGCAGTTGCGATCCTGTAAAGAGAACTTCAACTCTTAAAACGTCTGTTGTTGTCGACTGCTTGTGTTAAAAAGATCTCACTTTTTATATATACGCAGAATTTTTAACAAAGAAAAGCTGCAAATTAAAATAACAACAGTTTTTTAGTTACAAATTGAGCAAAAATCACATCGCGAGTCTGAAATGTCACAATATTTGAAATGATAATATTTCGTAAATTCTGTTAATATGAACAATTGATTCAGTTACACTCCTTAGTCGCCATAGTATGAGCGATATACACTCAAATTTGCATTTATATTCTCTGGTGATTTAAAAACAGCTGGGGTTTTAAATACGACACAGTATATCTATACAGAAGGGATTGACAAATCGCTGATAAACAATATTAATGAAAACAACAAAAAATATAAACTAAAACACACTCCGAAAGATATTTACTTTTGAGGTGCACCACAAAGGTGCCCGATGTCGACAAAGCTATTTGTCTCGTTTACGTGTGCTGTTCTCATTTGGTTAGAAATGTAATTTACTGCTTGTATTTAATCTTTATAAACTGAATATGCTAAAAATATCGATGCGACTGTTCCAAGTTGAGTAAATTTAAAATTGGTGAGGTAAATTCACCAGGCTAACGAATGAAGCAATTGTTATACCAATTTTCTAAAAAAAAAAAAAGAATTCACGTTTATCACAACATCAAAGTGCATACTGAAAGCTTGGGTTTTATGAACACACCAGAACCAGTCATTTAGCAACTTTTGGCAAGGTATTTAACAAAACCTTTTTACTCAGAATTAAGATGAAATGTGGAGTTTTAGAAAACAAAACATGAACAAACAAGAGCGCTTATATAAGATTCAACAAGCAAAATCACAAATATTCATGATGGTGCAAATGAGCAGAAATTTGAAAACAAACATCAAAACTTCCATTCGCTAATGTGACGAAAATATATAATATATGACAGAAAGCTTTTAAGTTTGTTCTGAAGATTACACCCAACATCATATTCCTATAACTACTGCCATGTAAATAGATGAGGACACAGCTCACCATACGACCATACATACAGCTTTATTTCTTTTTATATCCAGGAATGAATATTTAGACCTGTTTGATTTTATGGGATTATCGAACTATTTACGAAAAACGAATTCAAAATAAATCATTACTACCACCGCTTTATAATCATGAAGAAAAAATTCTATCCTGTTTTCCTTTTTGCATGGGAAGTCCATGTCTTTACATGAATCAAAAATGAATTTTAAATCATTCACTTAAATAAAAGAAGATGAATTTTTATCAAGAGAAGGCGAAAAGAGACAAATAATAATTTAACTAGTCGTATATACATGACGGTTGATCAATAAGAGATAGTACCAGCATTTGGAAGAAAACTTCACAATATGTTATTTTGTAAAACAGTCCTAAGATACGAAAGCGATGATCAAACGTAATATTTATTAATTCATATTATATACTTATAAGTTTCTGTCTAGTCTAGAAATAGTATATCAAACAAAATGACATTAATTTCTTCAGTGTTAGAGAGTTATTTGACTGTCGTCATTGGTTATGGTTACTGCTCTGAAGTGCCGCTAACTAAAACAGGAAATGGAGATACAGGGTGAGAGGATTGTGATCGTACGAGCCCTGCAACACTTGATGCATCTGATGAAAACTGCGCTTGTCGAACATTTGATTCTTTCTTCAATTCGCTCATTGACTCGAGCGATTGATGATGGAGCGAAGATTTTTCTGCGCTGTTGCTTTTCCTAACATTGTAAGAAACATCGTGATCGCTAGCAGTAGCTAATTTTTCCGTCATGCCATTTTCTTCTTCTCGAAACAGTTCTGTTGATTCCACAACCCTGTCAGATTCTACTGGAGCACTTGGGCCACTCTGACTCGATAAAGAAACCTTTTCATTTTCGCTTTTGACTGCAGGCCTAGAAGTTGCGGGTTGTGATGTTTCCGCTGCTGAAACACCACAATCCACTGGTATAGCACGTGCAGGTACAGGTGATATAGGAGAAGTGAGGGATGAATCGTATGTTATCGCATCATTACCATCTTCAATGGGTAAAGATAAAATCAATTCCCGTACAAATAAACTTTGTTCAAAAATGTCTATATTTTGTGACTCGCTTCCTGCTTCCGAATCTTTGTCATATATCCTGTAAAATTCAATTATTGGTATAAACTAGTACTGCAAGAGTAGGCCTACGACCACATTCAACAACTTTCAGGCAATAGAAATTATGCCCTATCGATTTGAAAGTGCCTATAAAAGAGACAAGGCAAACATGTGTAGAAGGGAGGAACCAATGATAACTATAAATATTAGGAAGACAACAAATTGATTGTGAATATCAAATTGAAACCATACTTTGATAATAGGAGACGAGGGTCATCATCCTCAGATACTGTTACTGAACTTTCTTCTTTATTTGCTTTCACAGCATTTGCATAGTTCTTGTTTTGGGTTCCTATAGGCTGACTCGTCTGTTTTCCATTCTGAGCTGTCTGAATCTTTCCAGGGATACGTTCAAGCTAAAAAGTAAAAACATATGAAATGATAAACATTTTTTATGTCGGCTTTTTCATGTTTTTATCCAAATAAGAAGACTGATATGTGAAGAGCTACATTTTTGGAAGGACCAAAATCTTTCTGGATAAGTATTGCCTAACTAATTTATCACGATCCGGGTGAGGTGATGGGGCTTGAGGTTTTAATCGAAGATTTCTCATGACGACAACAGTCATGTGGTTACGTCTGTTTCAGAATAGTTGGATAATTCGAAAACCTAGCACCAAGAGTAATTTTGATTCTATGTAATCAGGATGGTTAAAAATATTTGAAATACTGTAAGAATCAACTAATTTAAATTTTTGTTCAAACAAGAGTTTTGGGAGTGTGTATCTGATTATTACCCCCCCTCCCCCAGTCACTTTGACTGTGCATCAATCAACAAGCAAGTTCTGAAATCTAGAATAATGATATTGAATACTCAATATGAATATTCCATTTCAAAGTATGATACTTTGTTTATCACGATATAATCAACTTCAATATACATATTCAAAACATATACATAATACATATTCAAAAAAATATTTAAGTATCAAGAAGTATTTAATTTGGGGTTGGACGCTTAGTCAGAACCCTAAATTGCAAGCACCAGCCTGTTTATATCACAAAAATTAAATCAAGAATATATTTTCAAGGTAAAATGAAAAAAGGATTAGTAGAAATATAAACATGAAAACAATACAATACCAATAATTGCTTGGTAAATAAATCTAAATGTCTCTGGTACCTTTTTGATGAAACAAAATTTTTCATTCGAAACTTTATTGTTCAAAAACGACGAGAACGCCCAAGAATTATCACCATCATCACAATCACTATACTCACTTTCAATATCATCATCACCAGAATATATTGATTTAGGCATTTTACCAAAATTATTTTAATTAAATTGTATAAGTATACCATACAAATAAAAAAGCCTTATTTAAAATGAAGTGCATTGAAATGTTAAAAATATGTAATAAGGATTGAATCTTGAATGGTATGTTGCTGGTTAAGTAAATTTATTCGCATATTGATGATTTAATAACCGTAAAGCTTATACAAAATTTACTTAATGAAGGAAAAACTACGACGTTTTCATTAATAAAATCTCCATTTGAATAATCACGAGACTATCTAATTCTGTGTATAGGTCCATAGAAAAGGCTCTCGAATTGGCAATTGAAACCATATAGCCATCACTATTCCCCTAAGTTTATAATGTATGGGAAATTTATATTATATAGGTAATAGCTGCAACTCGATGAATAGTTACTTTAATTGCAAAAGTGAACAATACTTCCTTACTTCATGTTGTCTGAAAGTACATGCGAATGAACTCAGTTTCAACCCTCATGTTTCACGACTAAACTTACTCAAAACTATGATGTTAAGATAACTATACAATACTATAGCCTACTGTTACAAAATAAACTCAACTGCTTCTGAAAAGTATTCTGTTCCAATAAGAGGTTCAGGTGGTGTAGATGGTGAATCCAGATGGATGTTTAATAGAGGCGGTAGAGGAGGTGCGGGTGGTGGTGGAGGGAGTGGGATTGTGCTGAAAACTAGAGCATTTGACTGAGATGACGAGTTGGAAGTGTTTTGTCTCACAGCTGATCTTTGACCTCTGCTTTGTGACCTAACATAAATGGTATGGATTGCAAATGTGAACTGACGTAACAATGACATTTTTTACTGGATGACTGCCAAAATTAACTAATAAAATTACTTCAAAATGGTTTAAAACAAGTATTTTTAGCTATACCAAAATTTTGAAGAAGTACATGGCAGTATGCATTGATGTCATGATAACAAATCAAACTAAGTGGGCATTTATTATGTCAGAACCGAAGCAATTTTTAATTCGACTTTTCTTTCATCCATGGGAGGCAATCAACTTTTCTCTCTACAACTACAAAATATTCATTATGCCAATTTCTTTTGTGGCACAGTGTAACTAACTACTGAACGATGCTATCATAATCTGCCTAAATCTGCTTGTACTAAGCATGAACTGCTCCTCAACACAATACAGAAATACACAATATATAACTTAGATTCAGTAATATAAATGTTGATATTTGGCTGTTTTAAATTGCCCAAAAAGTGTTTTTTTTTATTGATTTTCATCATAAAAAACTTACAATGTTGTTAAGTTATTTTAAAGATATACCGGTAAGACATTTACCAATTTCAAAAAAAAGACAACATTCTAACTACCAGTTTATTAATTTACTGGAATTTAGTTTATATACAAGATTTTCATAAAGTCCAGTAACAATTTCGTTATAAAGTCAGTTCTCAATATATCATAACCAGGTTTGTTTTATTTTAATCAGTGTTTGTTCAAGTTTTTTACTTCTTTTAATTAATACACCCATATATGACCACCATCAAACTTCTTTCACCTAACTCAAAACAGGACTTTAAGAACACCCTGTACATCAACATAAACAAAGTACACATTTGGGCGCTTCAGAAGTGTGTATACCAATATGGAGGTAACTCATTTTCTCCCCTATTTTACATCAAGTTGTGTAAAGGGACTGAAACTTATGGCCCGTATGGGCAAGGCTAACACAGATTGTCCCTGAATTCATAATGGAATTCTCAGAATCCTCAGAAATTGACTATCATTATGCAATGTTCTTTCTGCAGTCTGTTTTACAACTTAGAGAGAGCTACATAACAACAGAAAAATCCTGACCTTCTACTGTAAGGACTTCCACTTTCACTTGATAAGGAGTTAGGATAATGATTCCTTCCTCCTAAAGCTCTTGTAAAACTACGTTTCCTTGACATTGGTTATTTTTTATGTTATATTACATACTAACACTTCTAGCCTAATACTAATCTACAAATATAACAAACTGAATCTGTATTCCTTTATTCAATTATTTAACTAAAATGCATGGTTCATATTAAATAATCACTATTATGACATCATATAAGGCAGAATGTAGTACCAATTGTTAAAAATATCACTGTTTTTCACATCTTGTAACTCAGCAAACTGCATCCTACATGGTAGCTAGGTAGAACATAAGCAGGTATATATTTAATATTATCCAGAAGGCTGGCCATACATGGTCTGTATATAAACTGTAGTTTTTTAGTGTTTTTAAATTAAAATCGGTAAGCCCCTAGAATTTGGTATGAAGTACTGAGGGAAATTTTTTTTAACTCATCTAAATCAGTGGTTCCCAACCGCCGGTCCGCGGACCGGTGCCGGTCCGCGAAGCTTTTTTGCCGGTCCGCAAGAAATTTTGTTGTCTTGTTGTTTTTATGCCGTTTCAATCGCTTTACCGTAGACAAAGTTGCGTTGGCTCATTACGCAGTTCTCTTCTGCCGTCATATTACGACGTCTTTCGCGACATGTTGGCGCCGTATTCCGCGACATCTTGGCGCCGATCACTCACACTTTTCGCTTTTCCAGCTCCGATTCATCGCGAATGCGCTCCATCAAATCTTGCAAAATTAAGAAGCCTAAAAATCGGCACGCGTGCCTTTTCTGTTCTGCGTTCTTTTCCTGATTAATATGACCATTCGTATGAAACGTAATGGATATCTCCTTGTTTAAACTAGAAAACAGTCAAGAACAGTATATTAATCCAGTAAGATATGAACTTGTTGCGACCCCACAGGTGTTCACGCGATACACGCAAAAAAAGCATGAGCCGCAGAGATATTTTTTCCAGACACAGTAGGATTTTGAGCTTGTCGCCAAGTTATCGACGACTTTGTCATTGTAATGCAAATTCATTCCGTTTGAGGCGTCGATTAACTGCAGAGGGATTAATATTATGAACCCAATGAAAAAGAAAAGGCTTGATTAAAATTGTGATTCTTCTTTACAGTTCAGATTGAAAAAGAATTACTTATCACAATTTTAGATATCTCTTGATAACGAATACCCATCGCCAAGTAATCGAGCAATCAAACTGTGGTCCGTCTTTTCAGTCAGTTACTGCGTTATGCGAAAAAACATTCTCATCACTCGATTCAATTAAAACCTCACTTTGATTAAAACGAGGCAAGGAAATCGGCTGCACGCGGCTGCAGAGCTACGTGTTGCAAAAACTTCTTTGCCTCGATCGCAATCTTGTATTGGAAACGAAACAGCAGCAAAATTTTCACAGAAGTTAATTGTGCATTATTTTAATGTGAGAATTTAATGCGTGCCTCTCTCACGCATAATGGGTGCCCAGCACTGCATTTCATTACGCAAATATATGGTATTATTTTATGTTTCACTCATTTGTAATTTTTGGTCGGCACATTATTTGATAGCTATTCTTCGTGTGAAATGTTTTAAAGTGTGCTTTTTTGTCTAGAAGCATATTGAGTGCCCGACATTGCATTATAATACGCAAATATATGTTATTCTTTTCTGTTACGGCCATTTCAATTTTTGCCGGTCCGCGAGTACATTTAATCTAATTTTACCGGTCCGCCAGGGTAGAAAGGTTGGGAACCGCTGATCTAAATCATACCAGTGGTGCAATGAATTGAATAAGCTCATATTGCATTTCCATCTTACAATATTTATACATATTTGCACATGTAAATAGTACGGAAATACACTGAGGCTGAGTTTACAGTTTAATATCCCCATAATGCGTTAATTTAGGCAACCAGACTACTAAATCTCCCAGCTCATCTTACCTACAATGGAAAAATACAATCTATCCTAATAAATAGGGAAAACTCAATACATCATACCATTAAAACATAAGGAAAGAGATTAGTGAAGCTCATATTTTATAATCAATCTCTCTTCTGAGAAATTAACACTACCTGCTACAAGTAATGATTTCTTGACTTTAGTCAATGGAATAAAAAAAAAAAAATTAGAAAACTGAATTCCCAGCTGAGCATGATTCTGGTATAATTGCACTAGGAGTGAACAACTACATATTCCAACCAGAAACGTATCTTCACTAAACAAGTTCTGTTTGCTCTCCTGATTCTATAATTAGGTTTTATTTGTTTTTATAAATATTTTATCGTCTGCTATGCTAATTATGAAGTCAAAAGAAACTTATATTAAATAATATTAACCGATCTATTCCCAGCAAATATGATTTGTATTTGCATTTCTAAAAATATATGTTATCACATATGGCTTGGGAATTTTTTTTCTCACAAGTTACTCTACTCTCTCTACCTGTTGCCTTATGATGGAAGCTCTTTGTCTTTCGAGTTGTAGTTGAGCTTGTAATTCTTGTAACTGTGAAGCAGTAGATACGGTTTGCTGCAGCTGTTGTGCGTTTCTTCTCACACCACTCAATTGTGACAATAATTCTGCAAAAATATCAACGTGATAATTAATAACATTCACACCTTTCATGACCAAAGTTTAAAAGCATTTCAATAATTTAAGTAGTCTGTATATAGAAGGGCTCATGACTGCACACTATGTACTCAAATCAATAATGTAACGTTATTATGAATAGGAAGACTATGAGGGTCAGAAAAACAGTATAGAATAGTATGTTCATAGAAAGAGCAATAATTAGTTATCTATAGAACAGCAGGATGGGAAATAGACATGATCAGTAAAATATAATGATAACAACATTAAAGAGATCCTATCCCAATACAGGGTGGTTCATAAAACTCGGGTCATTTGAAACATTTTTCTAGAAAAAAAAAACGTTTTAACGAAGCATCCTAGATTACTGAAACGTTTGGGAACAAAATACACAAACAAAAGTTTGAGAGTAAAGTAAAGCAAATAATTTTTTTTTCATTTTTGTATATGTAATTAAGAATTTTACAGGTCCTGCTTTTTGGGTGAGCTTTTAGTTGTTATATACCGGTACTATACTACTCGTTATAGACATTCTGAACTTCTTTTTTCATTTAATTTTTATTTTGAAAATGATAATGAACTCACAAAAAACATAACCGTGCTATTTCATAAGTTTATTTTGAAAAGGACATTGTTGAAAAATGATCAACTTACAAATGATAGCTTCTTACTTTCACTGCAGTGAATTATGTGGGGATCCATGAACAGTGCTTTTATGCAGAAAACGAAGGAAAACGAAGAATTTTGTTTTGATGGATATCAAGTTAATTATGGCTACAAAACATGCCGATATATTTTTGACAGATGGGTTGTGAAATGCTAGACCAATAGATGATATTTTAGTCGTATAAATGATTCTTGTTGACACATTTTTACAAAAATATCCTGCGACAGTCGGGCAAATCTTAACGAAAATGTGTTTTGGTTCAAACGTAAACATGCAAATTTGTGACTGAAAGTTTCCTACCTGCTATTGGGTCCATGGCATCTCTCATTTGTGGTATTGTTGAAGCCGCAGCATTTGCCACTCCAAACCCTGGCACTGAACTTGGGCCACTTGTAAAATGCATATTTGCAGATCTTTGTGCACGTGCACCACGTGTGCTGCGTCCCGGATAAAACATTCCTGAATTGAAGAAAGAATTTAGTGTTGAAAGGAAACATAGAAACACTCAAGTACAACATCAAACTCTCATGGATGAGAGTATTACAATCTGAAAAATTTCCAACAGTTTCATTTTCTAACTAACCAAACAATTTATAACTAATTTATTAAATATCACTGAGCAAAATGATGTTCCAAAGTTGATGAATAATTATTATTACAATTTTCTTTTCCCAAACTAAAAAATTCTAAAAAATGACAAGCCTAATACATACATACATACATACATACAAGATCAGCCAAATTATATTTCAAAAACCCACTTTATTAGCTCAATTGTATACCCATATTTATAAATACTTTGAGTCAATCAATAGTCATACCTCATACGTGAGGTAGTGCTGAGTACAAAACTAAATAAACTCTAAACATGTAGTTGTAGTATATTTATTGAAATTTGAAGAAACTATATTTCCACTACTTGAATAATATACAGAACAATGTAGAACAAAAAACACACAAAATAACAAGTTTACAAAATGTCTCAATATTCAGGTGGTCAAAAATTTTCTATACATATAGACAGATTTTTTTGATATTCATTAAGAGTAGGAGTATTTAAGAGTCAATTTTGGGCATTGAAACTAATATCTGACAGACTAATAGGTTCACTCCATTTTACATATCATGACACAATTAATTAACTCATCAGTTATTTGTATTTAAAGATCCAAATTCATTCGAAAACCTATCCATACTATACATCAAAGCGTATATTAGTAGTGTATTAAAAACTATGTTATGTTTCATCAAATAAACTCTCACGTCTCATGCTTTGCCGACCTCCTATTGGGTCCTCAATGGTCGCAGTACGATGTGATGTGTTGTGTTCAATGGCAAGATGGGTGGCAAAGTCATCAGTTACATGATTTGGATCTCCAGTTGGTATTGCAGCACATATTGGGCAGACCTGAAAGTTTAGCAATATTATCAGCTTTGTACCAGAAAAGGGGGAAAATAACGTGTATTCACTTGGGTCAAGGGGGGCAAAAAGTGCCTTGTTACATGAATCAGCATTCTCACATTGTGAATCTGGAATGTCTGCTGCGAATATTATAAATGATGTTGCCGCATTTGTGCGAGCATCACGAGCAAATGCAGTTACCGGTACCATCATGTGTAGTAAGTTAGGAAAACAAGGTGCTTTGCTTTGGTGCATAACTGAAGAACAGAAAAAAATAACACAATTTTTCAGCCTCTGCTTATTGGGCAGTAATATGGAAAAACCTAAATTTTAGTGCTAAAAGTGGTTTTGGATTAGTTGCAGAATTGCTAAATACAGTATTTTATAACGAGTATTAATTTAAACGCCTCCTCCAAAATTTTATTTCTAGAACTTACCACTTCTACACTAGTTTCAAGATGTTGAGAATTAACATGTTCTTGTAAATTAACTTCTGTGAAACCTTTCTTTCCACAAAGTGGGCAAGTCAGTGATGGTGGACTGTCCATTCCTATACCTTCACCTCCATAGAAAAGATCTGGATCACAAAAAGAGCGGAGATAAAAAAAACTTGAATAGAAAACGATAGCTTAAATGTAATATTCAAAGTATCAGAAAGATGCCATTTATTTGGTCATAGCCAAAATACAAATACATAACGAATATTGATACGATAATACAGGCATTGCTATCAGAAAGCTTGGTGAAAATGTTTGCAATATAAATGATTTGATTTCAATTATCCTATATCAATACACATGAAGATCATGACTTTGTTACATGGGTATCCAACATAAAATTTGTCTATACAACATAAAATTTGTGTACAAACATCGCCAAGTTTGGTAAAAATTGATAAAAATTTCATGAACATTACAATTACAGCATTAGCCTATGAAAATTTTGAAGCCTGATTTTAGTTTTCTAATATATACAGATACTATAGAAAATTGTATTTTAAGTAGGCCTATAATATTTTATTAAGAAATAAAACTTACCAAAGGCGTGCTTTGTTAAAATACATTGCATTGGATGAGAAGGAGAGTGACGTGATGTACTGACATTGTTATCGTAGCAAATCTCACAGAGATCGTAATCGTAGCAGATTAAACATTTGAAACGCTTTTGTCGAAAATTGCTCATTAAGCAATTATCACAGCTAACTCCTAAAATAATATATAATACAATATATATATATATATCGAGGCTTTGGACTATTTTACTGTTATAGTATAGCACCTTCTTTCGATTTCGCAAGTCTAATTCAAAGTAGCAATACTGTAAAAAACTGGCAGAAGTACGATGAGCCTTAAATAGGAAGTCTGCTACCTTCCATTTCAATTACACCCGAAGAGTATAACAGGGTTTCCACCTTTTTCGTGGGGCGGAACCCCAACGTCCCCCCAATGAGATTCGAGGAACCTATGTGCAATTGATTATATGTATATTTGTTATCACAAAATTTGCCAATCAGAAAAATGTGAAACAAATAATTTGACGCAACTACTGGCCTACAACACTATCCCAAACACACAATTTGCTGGTCCAATTAAAAAAGGAATGTAAATGTTTAAGTGGGAAAATTTTCTGATGATTGTCTACAATCCACAGTAATTATAATGAGTCATGTATAACTGTAGTGAGCTGGAATGACCTATTACATATATAAAATATGATTAGCATATTTTCATAATAACATACCTTCATGACGTGACATAATGTGTTTCCAAAAGCTAGTTCGTTCAGTAACTATTATACTGTATGAAATGATCTGGAAATATAACTCAAAAAATTAAATCTAAATAATATTTTAATGGGTAATATGGTTTTGAAATATATGATAGAAAACTTGACATGGAATGGTTATCTATGACAAAAAATAGTATATTTCTGTATACAAAAGATTGGATATGACTACAACCTAATCTTTTACAACCCAAATAATAGCAAAACAAAAATATGCATAATATGTTCGATCAGACCCATGTATACCAGTACCAAAAAAATATGAAATTGAGTTAGTTACCAACTCTTGATGTAATCATTTCCCATTAAATCTGTTTTTTTATGTAAATCTTATATGAACCATTTAATTAAATACATAAATAGGAAATTTTACTCTGAACATACTTAGCTTGTTAAATATGTTCCCTCCTATCATGGACTTCAACTATTCTACTAGAACATGCTTTATTCAATGGCACATCTTTAGATACACCTGGATTTTCTTTGCATTGCAGTAATATTAATTACTTCTCACCCAGATATACCGAATTTCCCGGTGAATAAGTCTACCTGGTGAATAAGACGAGGCCCGTTTTTACGCCTGGAAAAATGGGTTTTTGCATATAACTTGCAAATAAGACGGGTAGTAAAATCGCATCAACATCGGAATCTCAAATTACCATGCAAAGGCTTTTGAGCGGCCGCCGCGTTTGCGCATTGGTTGAAATAGCCGATAATGTTTTTTTCGTAATATTCAATCCATAACTACAGGAATTCAAACATTCTTTCAATTTCAATCTAATTGTGTTCAACTTATAGGAACATTGCCTAACACGGCAATCTGCGGACATAATAATGTGAGATAAACTACCTGATTATATTTAGATTTTATAAATAAATATACCGGTACATATAAAGTGTATATATGAAACATACATGTTCATCACCTGAAAATCTCCACAAAACGAAATGTGTTTCTTCATTGATTTAATTGTGATCGATTTAATTGTGATCAATTTAATCCGCGATTGGGACAATATAAATAGTATCGCTGCTACAAATTACCAACGCAATCCGTGGACATAAACATGTACAATTATATGTTGTTTTGATTCGTATTTTTGCAATTTAAAAAAATATCTGAGCTGTTGCTGCAACAATTTCGCTTTATCGCAATGCTGCCACTCATTATTTTGAGAATTGCACGGTAGGAAAAAACCTTAAGTCAGCAATGATATCCCACCGAGTAAAATTGATGTAAAAAAAATGAATTAAATACACTTTACATTACCGTAATTACGATATTATACATATATCATAGTCGCGTCAGGGGATGCTATCGCCGAAGGTATTTTATGGTACGAATTGAATAGGCTAATAAAGCGACACCAAAAAAAGGAAAGAAAATTATCATACTCGCCTTATAAGATGACCCCTCCAAAATCAGGTCAAAAATTTGGGCCTAGAAAAGCGACTAATTCGCTAGAAAATACTTTTTGGAATGAAGTTCTTGTTAACAACAATTTTAGAAACAGGATTCATATTATAGGCTATTAATTATGACCATCAATGCAATTGACCAGGGTTTATAAAACGAGACTCTAAGCTCTTCAAGTGAAAGTGGTCATAAATACAGCAAGTCAGAAGTGAAATCCGTAATGCATATCTTTCACCTTGGTACTGGATGACAATTTTGTCACAACGCAAGGGCAAAAAATATTTGTGTGAAACAAGAAAAAATAATTTATTACCGGTATACCATATTTTAATATCCTTTTTAAAACTTCATGAGGTCAGAACAATGTTTCAAATATTTAAATGGAGTATATTATAAAATTAGTTCTGTCATTATATTCAATTTAAAGTTTCAACTTTTCGGAGAAATCTTGGGCTAGCCCAAGCGTTGTAGTTGAAATCATAGTTTTTAACATTTGGGTATATTGAGATATTGAAATTTCCAAACTTTGTCTTACACTTCTCTGTCCTTCTCTTGATAAAACTGAGTAAAAGGTAATCAATTTTCTATAACCATAGTTCTCATAATAGGGTGAGAACAAAAAAATATGCCAGTACTGATGTTGACAAACAGAATAGCAAATAGTAGATTAATTGATTGGAGAAAAATAGTTTAATCCAGTAATGTAATCTCAATCCCCCCAAATTCTAATAAGTAATCTGTCAGCTTTAGTTCAGGAGTGTCTGTGTAAATTTATGTACAATTCTCAATTTGTTTTTTTCATTCATTGGATTGCTATTGCAGTATTGGCTAACACGAAAAAACCAAAAAAAAGATTCGATCAACTACAAAAAAGTCTCTGAAAAACAGCATTTCATCTGGCAGGAAGATTACTGTTTCATTAAAAATTCAGAGGTCCTCATTCAGTCATTATTGAATTGAATTCTCATCCACAAAAAGTGGATGTTTTTGGGAGTAACCATCTCTAAATAAACTGATGTTAAATACATCAGAAGGCAATGGTAGATAGACATATTAAAGTTAATAATAGTTAACTAAGCTACTTGCAAAATAACCTGCATTAATGCATTAGGCAGTTACAGAGTTAGATGATGATACACACTGATTTTAAGTGTGAAGCGTGCTTAGTGGTCCATAGCTTTTATATAAAATATTGTCGACATGTGAAACAATTACCGTAATGTCAGAATGAGTTGTGTGCTAATCATAATATGGCATAATTGCTATTCAAAATTAAAATAGTTACTAGAGTTGACCAAGACGAAAAAAAGCTCTTCTCTGCAAATAAATTTCCCATATCACGGGTTACCAAATTTTGTTATTAACAAGGGATAGCCTGTATATGGAATATAAACATATACAAATATATGAATAAACGAGTGATGACTGTGTACCGTAAGGTAGAAAATTGTAACTTGAGTTTTCTGAGTGACAGAAGGTTGAAATGCCAAATATCAGAATGTAGTTCGAAGCGTTAATTCAACATAGACATAAAGAATCACGGGCCTAACCCACATCCTGACATCTCTGCTTGCACCCATGGCTTCCTGGTAGACTTAATTCAGTACCGGTACCGTCTGACCTGACAGTACGGTCATCTACATTCTGACATGTTTGAGCGTATAATTCAGTAATTGCTGAATTGTTAGTACTGTAGTACCGGTATCGTACAGCTCAAAGACAAAAATACTGACGTAAAGAGTTCGGCCGATTCGCGTAATATTTTTTTTTTGATTGGCTCACCCAATGAGTGATTTTGATAAATATGCAAAAAATGAATAAATGTACAAATTAAAATAAGTCCATATTCCATTAAATTCATAATCCATTCACGTAATATTACTGACCTAAAGACTTATATCCTCGTTCCCGCTACACTAGATATTTGACCGTACTCGCAACAGACAATCCTACCAGTCTGCCAGTCGCTCGTTAACGGCGAAGAACTGAAGAACAAGGAACAGCAGAACAAGGACAGACAATATCAGTCGCAGAAAATCGTTTACTATTTATTCATTTTGACGTCATGTGACATGAGTCGTGTCTAGCCGTGTTGTAATAAAACTGAAATGATGGTGATTTTTACAAATGAAATACGCATACATTGCCATGAAAAAACGCAAATTTGAATTACCACATACTGACATATCGCTATGCGTGCGAATAATATCGCTTCAATTTTCTCAACCAAATGAATCTTTGCAAAGCGTTCGTGAATGGCGTCAACCAATGAGCATATATACAATGAGTGGAAACTTGCCAAGATTTGCTCATTATGGCATTGTTCCCTGCATTTTTACGTCGTCCAGCTAAATGGTTCGTTGCATATTAAGAAAACGCATTGCTCGCTGCCAAAATCCCTTGCTTCAGCCGAGTCGGGTGCGAAATTGGCCGTATTAACTTGACCTGAGGTCTTTAATTCTTCAATACATATTTGATTTTGGGTTTCGAAGTATGGTACGCTGAAAGCATACAACTATGAGCATATGCTTATTGGGAATGCATATCTATTAGACAGAAAACGTATCTACAGAACGGAATATGAACCAGTCGCCGAGAGGAGTGCGGGTATTCATGTATTTATTAATTAATATAACATGGGATTTACATATTTATCCAAGGGGAGAGGAAAGCCGAAAAGAAGTCCTAAATATATGGCCAACCACGGCCTCTCTCAATCATAGCTCTGTCCTCCATATGAATCACATGGCTCTGCGAGCTATTCGTTTACTTATTAAAAATACTGATTTTAACTATAAATTACTCTGGGATATCTTGCCATTGAAAACAAAAGCCAGAAATTGGAAGAAAAGCAGGGAATGAAATGAGAGTATTATGTAATGGAGAACCTGAGTTTGTTTCACATATTTTCATGTATTGTGAATTTACAAAAAATATTTATGAAGATTTTGTTTTAGATATATTAAAATTGATTAGAATATATTTTGTTATCAATATGATTCTTGCATATTATTTAATTTTAACGATCCTTTATATAGTCGTATAGATACTGTGGATTTGGATGCAATTATACTTTTGTAATCAATAGTGAGAAATATTTCATGACTGCTATTAAATATGTGAGCTATTTTTTCTGCAATGCAAAATATTTCCTTCGTCTGCTATTTACTATGTGAATTAATTTTTCTGTATTGTAAAGTATTTCCATAACTGCTTTTATTATGTGGGCTGTTTTTTCGGTACACTCGTAGTATGTGTACCAGATTAGGTAGGTTACGATTCTCCTTATTTTTGTTCTATTAAAAGTTCGGGAATTGTCTGTGTTACACAAGTGAATATCCCCCTACCGATAGAATTTAGTCCATTTACACAACTTGATATAAAGTAGGCGAACAAAATTAGTTACCTTCATATTGGTACACATACTTCTGGAGCACCATTTTTTTTGTAATGTAAAATATTTAATATGTGAACTAATTTTTCTGTAATGCAAAATATTTTCTACAGCTGTATTTTTCATATGTCACTTTTCATTTCATCGATAATACACATTGTTCATTCTTTGTGGAGTTTTTGGTAAATTTACAGATGGAATAAGACCGACATTCAGCTTTTTCTGTTTCCCAACTGTAATACAAAAAGGTACTCTTGAAGTATGTAAACCCAGTTGGTAGACACCGGAACCATGTGTTCCAGGTTAGGGTCTACTACATACAAACATTCCCAAACTTTTCAAGCCGCACCCCCTTTTTAGAATTTGTGAAGTCTTGCGCCCCACCTCAAGAATAATTAGCTAACAATAATAAGCTACAAATAACAGTAGTAAGGCGTAAGTATGTTTTATTGGAAAAACATGTGGAAAATACATGGATGGAACGAAATAAATGACAAGTTTTGATATGTATAAAATTAGTCAAGTCCAGAAGTCAGTATTTTAAACTGATAGAGCGAGAGAGTTTATTTCGTTCGTCAAACCATGAACATATATAAATTATAATAAAAAAAAACAGATGCCCAGGTGTTTGACTGGGAGACAACGTTACAACATTTCGGGTCATTTAACAGGTTCGGTGTTAAATTCTTCAATACCTCTCATATACCGTATTCACTATATACATTATTCACAAGAATTTTTGATTTGGAAAGTACTAAATAATCATGTTTTGTCCTAAGATCATCATTTATTCAGCTGATAAGTTGACATGTATTGCATATCAACTGCATAAAAATGGGTTAGCGAGGATATCTATTATTTGGAAAATTTGTCTACTAAAAATGAATGTAATAGGACATGGATTTTTTATAAGCAAAGATAAGGAAAATTCTATTATTATAGCACTTTAATTATAAGCATTTGATAATAGTAATGAAATCATGAGTAGATTTCTTTATACACTATAATTTGAACACATCAAATTATAATACTTGATTATGACTGGCAAGTGATTTGGAGGATAGTAAAACACAATACTACATGATCAGGATTTGACCCTTCTCCAGCAAATATATATATATATATATATATGAAATAAAGTGCTCATGTACATATCTATATTCGGC